CTTACCTCGCCGACCACATTTTATTCCGAAAGTCACGTCTGAGAGACGATCCACTATATCATATGGGCCTTCCCATGGAGAAGACAACTTAGGAGACTTCCATTCGGTCTTCCTTGGATTATACAACCACACCTTGTCTCCTAGTACAAAGCTGACTTCAGTAGATCTCTTATCATAAGATAACTTCATGGAATCAGAAGACGTTTTCAAGTTTGAATGCACTTGATGATGAATATCATCCATCCTTTCAGATAACACTTTCACGAACTCTGACACATCTTTAGGCAACTTCAGGTCCACTGGCAACCGAAGTTCCCGACCAAACATCAGCTTTGCTGGAGTGTATCCAGTGGCTTCATACTCTCCTGTTCTATAGGCCATCAACAGTGGAGAGAGTAGGACATCCCAGTCATCTTGGCGGCTATTACAAAACTTTGCCAATTCCTGTCCAAGTGTTCAATTGTACTTTTCTACCATCCCATCAGACTGTGAGTGAAGTGGCGTTGTCCTGGTCTTCCATATGCCAAACAACTTGCAGCATTCATGGAACACAGCTGATTCAAAGTTATGGCTTTGATCTGAATGCAGTTCATATGGTATACCAAATCTGAAGAAGAAATCACTAATAACCGAAGCTACAGTTGTAGCTTCCTGATTTGGTATTGCATATGCCTCAGGCCACTTGGTGAAATAATCCATCACCACACAAATGTACTTGTTTCCAGCACGAGATTGGGGCAGAGGACCAGCAATGTCAATGGCTACTCTTTCCATTGGTGCGCCAACTTGATATAGCTTCATTGGAGCACGTCCCTTATGCTTGGGTCCCCTTTTGGCACAACATGTACTGCATGGCCTTCACCATTCTTCCACATCTTGCCTCATACCTATCCAGTAAAATATCTGTCGTTGGTGACTCAGTGTTTTCTTAACTCCGACATGTCCTCCTGTTAAACTATCATGGGATTGACACAGCACAACTTCCCGTAACTTTCTTGGTATAACTGTTTGCCAGGTCGTCACTTTCCCATCTGTAGTTTCCCATCTCCGGAGAAGAATACCATCTTCAAGCTTCAACTGGTCCCACTGTATCCAATAGTTCTTTGTCACAAGGCTTATACTAGACACCTTCTCCCAAGCAGGGCGCAAAACACTTGCTTTTAGGAAATCAATCATTGGCTTCAAATCATGGTCTTTCTCCTGTTCTGCCTTAATATCTATACCTGGTTCCACTTCACCATCATCAACTCCTTCAGTCACTTTGACTTCAGATTGATGGCACCTGGTTAGTTCAACCTCTCTTTTAACACTTACCGGAATTCGGCCTTTGTTATTCCCAAACGTCATTTTATCGAAGTTAACTACACACTTCCTCGGTAGTAAGTAGTCCAATCCTAATGTGCACTAGTCTTCAATGTCAACCAAGTATACTTTGTGTCTGTTATTCATGTCCATGAGCTCAATAGTGACCCACACTGGTCCCCACAACCTTGCATAATGTCCTGTCACACCACAGAGCTTCTGTATGGCTTCTGGTACTCCTTTGTTATCCAGCACCTTGATACTCACAAGTGTTTGCTGATATGCAGAATCTATGACAAAGTTGTACTTTTGGCCATCCAGCTTTCCTGTCACGTAAACACTATGTGCGCTTGCCATTTTTCTCCTAGCTATTGTGACTTTCACAGTAAGGGTTGGTAGGCGTCCATCAACACGATTCACTACTGGTTTCCCCGAGGCTGACTTATTGGTAGTGTTCTTCTTACACTGGCTCCTCATATCTCCTTGCTCTCCACAGTTCCAACAACCTCTCTGGGTAGCAGCCTTTCCTGCCGTGGCATCTTCCCTGTGTTGAAGTTGCCGGCATTCAGCTCTCATGTACCCACGTTTATTACAGTGCCAGCAAAATCCCTCAAACTTCTCTGAAAGCTGCCCTTTTCTGACCTTGAATCCTGATGACTGTACCAACCTTGGTA